ATTATTTTTTTGAAAAATTAAATTAAAACATTATATAAGAGAACACAAAGATGTTATTATTACCCGTATGCATTTATTCTATTAGAAACCTCATTCTGTATATCATGAATATATAGTTGTAAGAACATAGGTGTTTTTCCTGGTTTAGGCAAAATATCACCACGGTGATAATTTTCTCCACACATTTGAAACAGATAGGGTCCAGCACCATCATTAACATAATGGTTAACCTTGCCTACCTAAAGATGTGAATGAAAAAATCATATTGTATGCTCTTATATTATCACGAAAATTGATGCTCCTATCATCGTGATTATAGACCAACGATGACAACGTATTTGGTGGAGGTTTGAGAAGAGGGAGTTTTGATGACAACACTTTGAAAAAAATGGCTTTCTTTTTTTGATTTTTTTATTCACACGTTCTCCAAACCACATATAGGCTCCACAATTCTCACATGTATAAAAAGGATCGCCATCATCGTAATATCCTGCGCAAAATTGAATACATAAGCACTGCTAAATTTCCTTTATTTTAATATATGATTTACATACTACTATTATTATTATTAGTGATAGTAATCGAATAAGAAAACTAAAGTGGAAACCAAACAAACCGTTCTCTTGTAACCCAGCTCTAATAGCCGTAAATCCGCCAATTACATTAGACGTTGTACTATCATCACCATGTTCGGTATCAGACTCGTCAGTAGACATATCATTTTCGCTTCCTCTATTTGACTCTGAATCAGTAGCAATAAAACATACAAAATCTTCTTGTAACCCAGGTAGTAGCAAAGTTTCTACACAATGACCAATAATTGGTTAGCATGTTGATGAGAAGCTGTTTTACTCATTAAGAGTTTAATTAATAAAAGTTAATGTTACCTTGGTTACCCTTCTTCGTTCTTCTTTATTTCAAAACACGCATTCTATTCATCTTGTCTATTTGACATACGTTTTTGTGTGTGAGGTCTTCGAATTGGTGATGTATAGATGTAGGTATAGAGACATCTGCTATAGATTTAAATTAAAAACTTGGTAACTATGTCTAAAATTAAGACCTGAATCATAAAGATTAGAAATTTGGAAATAATCGTTCTATAATATTAATTTTTAAAAAAAGATTTAAGAGATTTAGTTACTCTCTCTAGTCGAACCATGAGATGCATCTTTCTTTCTACGGTATGGAAGCTTCGTAGGTCTCATTATAGAGACATCTTCTATAGATTTAAAAACTGGGTAACTATTTCTAGAATTAAGACCTGAATTATAAAAATTAGAAATCTAAAAGTCAGCGTTCTTTAATTTTTATTTTTGTATAGATTTCAAAAATTGAGTAACTCTTTCTAACCATACCATGAGTTGCATCTTTCTTTCTCCGATATGGAAGCTTGGAAGGTCTCATTGTTTTTCCCTAAACGTAACGACCTACAAAAAAAAAAAAATACAGTAAATCATTGTGCTAACATGAAATTACGTCTATAATATCATCTTTACTTGATATTCAATTCAAAGAACTGCGATAGGTTTAACTAAGTTATGTATCTAATATATAAACTCATGGTGAAGAGATTCTAATATTTGTAAATTAGTGATTTCGTGATTATCAAATTAACAATTGTATTAATCTTATAATTAATTTAATTTTATTTATTAGCGAATTTGTATATTTCCATTTAGTTTAATATATATTATTGTTGACATTTTCATTATCCTTTAAATTAGAAATTTTGCTTATCTAAAGTTTTGCATATATTTTTGTATTAGGGATATATCTTACTTGTATTGTCACACCAACCAGTTTCCTATATCTTTAGAAATTTAGACATAATATTCACTATTGGGATATTTCCAATATCTTACTTTTATTGTCACACCAAACAGTTTCCTTTTACTTTAACGTTCTATAGACTTTTTACTGTTACAATATTGTAAAAACATAAATTATATGCTGTTTTAAATAATCAAATATTTAAATAAACTTGGATAAATTTTTTAATTAATTTCATTCTTGAATCATAATTTCTTTATAATACTATTATAATATTTCAATATAACTTATAATATATAAGCATAGTATTTCAAATTATCACTTATTATGATATAGTTTGAGTAAAAAATAATAATTAAATCAACATTAAAAGATTAGCATGTTTTTGATAATCCAAAATAATAAACCACAATATTAGAAGCATCGCATGTTTGAAAATAATCCAAAATAATAAAACCAATCTTAAGCTAGTTTCTCAGTTTTGATCCATTTCCTTGTAATCATAATATGACTATTCGCGGAGTCGCCACTCTTTCGGGAAGTTCTCTTCTTTGACGGAGATGAAGCCGATTCAGCTGAAGAACTCTCGTCATTTTCATCTGTTATTTCTAGAATTTGAGGGTTGACATCGGCATTTGCATAGCTCTCCTATAAATGGTAACAATCATGAATATATTTCAGAATAAATTTCTATTAATCACAGAATAGCTAATATTAATATTCGTAACATTGTACCTTTACAAACTGTACGACCATATCTTCCTTTTCCCAAAACTTTTCAACAACATATGCCGATTTTGAACTCTTCAAATTGTCATTTGTGATCGAAACCTTAAACAACATAGTTTTTCCAATAAACGAAGAAATAGCAATGGGAATAGTTGAAGGATCATCCTAAAGCATATGAATCTATTGGTTAAATACCGTTTATTAAATTTATCATGAACATGAATGTTCAAAATTTTACCTCAGCTATCTTTGCAACCAATTCATCAGCCTTCTTTCCAATGAGAAGTTGAGCAAAACCGTCAAAGAAAAGTAGCCTAATATGTGGCAAACTTCCATATGAGACATGTAAGACCAATTTAAACCTAATGTTATAAAAATAAAAAAAAACACAACTCAATGGTCTTCGCCGCATTTTCATAGGTGAATCAATTTTAAAGAACAAACTAATGAGTGACTCGTACTTGCAATCAACATCTGTAACGTCTTTGTCTCAAACACCACAACTGTATAATCGTTCTTTTCCGACTTGAGAATCTAGTGGGTATGGTTGAACTTTTTTATTACAGGCTTTGCAAGCAATGTAGTACCATTTAGGCAATGTCTCTACGGAGCTAACTTTTGCGATCGTAACACATGTACGCACTTGAATATAAGCCAACGTATAATCATTAAATATATCATTTTTTCTATAGCATGTAATTTTAAAAATACTTCTAGTACATAAAGAATGTCGTCTATTGTTATCTTTTCATTGAGTACGAAGAACTCTTCATATAGTGTAACTTTCGGTTGTTCACTTTTGGGTTCAGTATTAATCTAAACAAAATCGACGACGTCTGATGGTAACCTTTGAAAAATCAAAATACCCTAATAAGGACATGTATCTCTATATTAGTTAAAGAGAAGTACAAAAGTGCTTACCATGGAGCAATTAGGACGAACCATGGAGGTGTATATTGACGATATGCTCGTCAAATCAGAAAAAGCTGAAGACCAAGTGCCCCATCTCAAGAAATATTTTTATACCCTGAACCAGTACAACATGAAGTTGAACCCGGACAAGTGTTCATTTGGAGTGACGAGCGGCGAGTTCATAGGCTATATCGTCACGAAACAAGGAATCGAAGCAGACCCGAAGCAAATAAAGGCCTTGATCGACATGCCGTCACCTCGGAACAAGCGTGAAATGCAGCGGCTAACAGTTCGCATAGCCGCCTTGAACAGATTCATCTTGCGCTCCACCGATAAGAGCCTGCCTTTCTATCAGTTGCTCCGATCTACAAACAAAGACTTCTGCTTGACACCAGAGTGCGAGCAGGCCTTCGCCGAGCTCAAAACATACTTGACGACGACGCCCATTCTATCGTAGCCCGACGAGGGTGAAAAGCTCTACCTTTATATCGTCGTATCCGGTTCGGCCGTAAGTGGCGTGCTCGTCAAAGATGACAGCGCCGAGCTCCGTTTTCCAATGTTAGAGAAAATCGCGTTCGCGGGCGCGAAAACTGCGACCATAATTATTTTCTTATGAAAGACCATCTTTCAATACTTCATTTTTAGGTTAAAATCACTTGATTCAATTGATGAAATATTAAACTTGATTTTCTTTTTGATTATGTTATAAAGTTGTAGCCCCACTTAAGAATGGGTAGAATTTCTCTTTGAGATATGCTACACAAATTACCTATTACTCGGATAATAATGTTTCAAAAGTTTCAAGATAAAATGTGACCCTTCAAGTATCTTCCTCTTATATTATAATTTTAAGTTGAGTTTACTGATCTTTTATTTTTCTTAAGTGAATATTTAATAATAATAAAATATGAATATATTTTTCTTGGAACTTTTATTCACAATAAATTTAAAAAATATCTTTTAAAATCTTAGAAAATACGATTACAGAAATTTTGTACTATTCCACCATGCATTTGAAATTTAGTGACATTCTAAAATTCATTAACACATAATAATTATTTTATTTTTATTTTTTGTAAAAAGTTTGAATCATATTATCACTACTAATACACTTCTTTTTCGTATGCGTAAATCAGGTCTGTAAAGTTTAGTAGAGCTTCTGAAATATAAAGGAATTACTTTGCAAACTTTTTCTATCAAGTTTTCATGATTACATAAATTAGCTTGTGAACAATATTATTTAACTTGATGGAGCAATCGATGTCTTTAACCACAATGATAGCGTTGGATGGGATGTTCGCAACCAACATCATAGGCCGAACATTGCAACTAACTTGGGTCAGATCCAAGATGTACACATTGAATCTTAAATGGCTAGCCGTGGCTGCAATCAAAATGGTCTTTCATGTCCCAGGTGGACCATAGAGTAGATAACTTCTTTTCCAAGAAGGCCCTATATTCCTTGTAAGCCTCTCCTTGTTCCACAAATGTATATAGGTCATCAATTATACTTCTTTTAACCTGCATATCTAAGGCGAGGGTTTGAAACGTGGAAGGGTGAGAAAAGATCACATACATCCAGTCCTCTATGCCGTCAATGCAGAATATCAGTAGCGGCTTATGCATTGTTCTAATCGAAGCAGCTCTCTAGGTGATATGTGATATGTATCAGTGATTAAACTTTTCTGACTTTTTGGGTAAACCAAATCAAAAGAGCAAATCTCAGAGAAATAGGTGCTTGATCTCTTCTCAATCATGTGCAGTGAAAGTCCACCAAAACATTACTCCTTCATAGATCTCCACAAACGTCATTCCATCAAGTAATTCATACTCATCAACCCCTCCTTTATGTTTGATGAGTTCCATTGTGCTTCGCCTAGACACATTAAGCTTTGACGATAGATAAACTTTTGAATCTTGATATTGAACATTCAACCGATCACGTTCATTTATCAACACAGTCTGGTAAGGTAAAAAATACTTGACAACCATGAGTGCAGAGTCCCATGCATAATCCTTGGATTTCGGAGGTACAAAAGCGAATACATCCATCAAAGTGGAGCTGGCGATCATAACCTTAGTTTTCGTCTTCCAAAATGAATTCTGCATATAAAAATAAAGAAATTTCCCAACTAAAACTTATCAACAATGGATAGCAACTTACCGGAGGAGAGCAATAAAATAATTACTTCTTAAATCTTATTTGAAAAAAAAAACCTCGAAGAAGAATTGTTCAAAACCTGTAACTAGCCATCAAGAACTAACCTCACTTTAAAAAAAAAGACTCGCTATGATGAGTTTCATTACACACAAATATTTATGAGCAGAATCAACTGCCAATTCTTGAGTTAATTAACAATGGAAAGCCAATGGAAACTGGAACAGAAAATAAAAGGTGGTCGAGTAGTTTTATAAATTGAGTAGCTTCATTGAGTAGGTGGTCAAGTCCATCCTCTTGTCTGCTCGAGTCCTTAATTGGTTGAGTTTCTTGTCCAGATTGGTCCACTCGATCGGATTGGTCCACATCCTTACTAAGTCGAGTTGACATCATTTGGTCTCTTTTTCCTTCTAAAATACATGTTTTGAATATGAATGCAATAAAAATACATTAACTCTACTAACGAAGCAAAACATAGTTAAAAGTCTCTAAAACTAAGAAACCAAATCTTAAATCAATAGAAATATAGTCTAAAAGCATTGCTAAAACAAAAATCTAGAGACATCAAGGAACCAAAAGAAATTCAACGTTGCATGAAATTTAGCACTTGAGGTTATGGATGTAACTAAGGATCATTTACCAAGGTATTTTGCATAGTGTACACTACGCAGAGATTGGCCAAAATGGAAAGAAGCAATAGACGCCGAATTGAAATCACTCTTTAAGCGAGATGTATTTGGACCGGTAGTCTGTACACCTAATGGTATTAAATCAGTTTGACATAAATGAGTTTGTGCAAAAAAAGAATGAAAATGGTGAAGTTGTGAGATACAAG